CAAGCTAACTGACTGTTCTTTGATGAGTCGAACCTTAACAGTTGTGTTCACGTATTGTGTCCGGTGACAAGAAAACATAAGTCAAAATGTATTGTACCTGATGGATGAAGATCACAGTATAAGGATGTCAGAATTCTAGGAATTTATGACCTTGGCAAATTCCCAGAATTCATTAAACTATTGCTAAAAGGTTTTGTCTTCTACAATCACTTCAAAGTCCATTGTATAAGGAATTCCACTCCAGTCATTGCAAATGATCAACGATAGACCAAAATTAGCCTCGCAATCAACTTGTTGGCCTTCCCTGACTTATCTGACCAGCAAGCATTGCCATTGTTATGAAATGAAAGACATTTAATAAATAAGATAAAATATTGCAAAATTCGTTGTAGTAAATTAATAATAATAAAAAAAGTCAGTGAATATTTTAATCAAAAATAAAAAACAAAATTTAGTTAAATAGTTATGCATAAAAATTTAAGTACTTAATCAGTAAATTAACTTTTTTTACATCTGGAATATTTATTTTTGTATATTTTAGATGTATGAAAGTAGAAATTTTACTTATTTTACGGCTAATTCGCCACATATGTAATTTTCAATTGCTATTAATAGAAATTCCAGAAATTTGTCTTATGGCATAATCGTACATAAATAAGTTTTAATTCATATTGGTTTAGAAAATGATCTTCTGCCACTTGCAGTAAAAACAGGTAAATTCAATAATATTCTTAATGAAATGGGTAAGTTACAAAAATTTAAATTGTCAGAAATAATTAACTGCAGAATGTCATAAGGACTTTGAAATTTAAGTTAATTTTTGTTAACTTTTTAAAAGCACATATCTTTTTTCCCTTCAAATTATCATAGTTTTTTCATAGATCTTTTTTACCAGTTTCTGATATGTTGTATAAGAAACTAAAATCACCACAGTGCAATTTTAATAGTTAAAAAACATTTATTTAAGGATGTCCTTGCAATATCTGAAAATGTATAAAATAATAATTCTAAATTAATCTTCAGGTGTTAAAACCCCCATCTATGCCTTCACTAAGTTTTTTCATAATTTTATGCGTACTGCTGTGGTTAGAATATGATCTGCATTCTAATAAAAAATGTTTATTTCCCTTCAACGGATTTTAAAGCAAGTTCAGTTTCATAGTTTTTTTAAATCTGTTTCCTGGTACAGTTTATTCTGCTAAGAATATTGTGCCAAAGTATCACAGAGGAAATAAATTTAACAATCTTTAATTTTAACAAACCAATTTTGTGCTTCATGCTACTGCTTTATTAAAAATATTGTTGTCTGTTACTTCATAAAATGAGTCACAATTTTCTCATAGATGATGTTTTTTTATTTGCTTTCCTACCGGGTATATGGTATTTGCTTCAACTTTAAATTGGACTTTGAAACTGGATTTAAAGAATTGAGTCTAACTCTTTGGTGAAGCAATGAAAATTGGATATTTAGTTAAAGATATAAATAGAAAGTTGTTTCATATCTGAAAACAGCAGACAGAAATAAAATGACCGTTTTGAGAAATTCAGAAAGGGAATAAAAACCAGCACAGTTACATATAGGTAAAATTAGAGGCTTTTAATGAATTGGGAGAATATTTGTAGATTTAACAATGGTTTTAACTTTAGAAATCAGAAGCTGAAGAATCCCTTAAGGGTATAGTAATATGAGTCTTTTGTTACAAACCTTGCAGCACTATCAGTACAAGTATTTTTGTTCATAATGATTTAACTACTATAACCTGTAGGTATAGTAATAGATTTGGATCACGATAAATTGCATAAAGGTAGTTTTCAATTTTAGATTAAGATTAGGATAGAATTTTTATTGACTGATTTCTAATTGAAGTTAACTTCAATAGCATTAAAAGTATTACCACCTTGATGGTTTTCATCCCAAATATTTGATTCTTCAAAGATTTAGGTCAGAAATTTAATCACGTAGCTAAAGTTAAAATTAACTATTAGTTTTCATAGTGTTGTATATAATATTCCTAAATAATTTCAATCTTAATCACCTTTTTATATTCAGATAGTTGCTTCATATGTCATGAATTACAGTGAAACCCTGCTTAACTGAAATGGATCTTAACAAGTTGACTCACAATAGTGCCCAACATTTCTTTTCCAGAAATCTTGGCAATACACACAAACAGTAAACTGAGAAATTAATATTTTTGGGAACTTCTACATGCTTTCGATTGATTACATCAATTCAATTTTGCATTGTATGAAGCATGCTAGAAGTAGCTAAGCTACTAAATCAGAAATAACAAAGGCTCTAATTGCCTTTAAAAATATTTATTCAGCATTTTAAGAGGACCATATTCTATGAGGAAATTTGATAATCGTGAATCACTGCATTTGGCAATATATTGAACTCCTGATTATATATATATGTAATAAGCTGATTTGGAGCTTTATGTGCACAACACAAATTTAAAATGGATGATACAAAATCAGCTCCATTTGTTCACCCCTTCATTGAATTCATTCCAACAAGTTCTTCAGTTGCTTCAAAATTTTCAGAAATTTCTCTAACAAACAAAAACAGCTGAGTTGCTGAAGTAATGTCTGCTAACTCAACAGCTACTACAGAAAAGTAACTGGCAGCAGCAATTTGTAATTGTTTATTAACATCATCAGATTTTTTTTCAATTCTTCTTTGAACTGTGTGTCATTGTGCTGAGACTCACATTTTTAAATTTCTTCGTAGCTTCAGGGCATACTTTCTTCGATGGCAACAATATACATTCCTTTGCAAAATTACCATCAGTAAACATGCAATGACTTTTTAACAATTAAGGCTGCGATTCCCAAACTAACTTTGACACAGTTATCTAAGTGTCAAGATGCCTTTGTAAATACATTCCTTTGTGCAACAAGAGAACGGTGAAGAGATTCGATTTTATGATTTTGATTCTCTCCCTCAAGCTTTGAAAATGTTGAGTGTTTTGTGTCATAGCATCACTTAATACTATGGTCCTGGCAAACACTAATTGCAAAATTACACATCAAGCATGTAATTCTGTTATCTTAATCCCCGAAAAAGTATTTTTAAGTCCAGGCCTCCAAAAATTTCCAATTAATCATCCACTACCTTTCTTTTCATTTTCAATCTGTTCATCATGGCAAAAAACTACACAAAACAAAAATGACAAAAATTCTACCTTGCTTCCTCTTTTAAAATATTTTTTTAAAAAAAATTAAATATTCAAAACAAGAATTTCTTAATGGTCTCGAAAAAAAAAATTAACACAAAAGTGATAAAACAATGTATAGTCAAAAGCCAAAAGTGCAACAATGCAAAGCAAATGAAATATTTTTCTCTCCCTTTTTACTAGTGCATGCATGCAAACACATTCATACTATATCATACCAAAGACCCTTCCTCAATCTGTGCATCGTACAGGCTAGGAGAAGTTTTCACTCTTAGGTGGTGAAACTTGCTTTGGTTGATGCCAGGAACTTGGCTCAGTGCTAAATCTCACTTCTAGAGAAGAGAGTAGAATGGATAATAAAGCGGAAAGCAGTGATTTTTTTTTTTTTTTTTTTTTTCTGCCAATCCCTTCTAGAGACAACCGATATGTCAAATTGCAACAAATCTTTGAAGAGGTAGGTCTCAGTGGGTTACAGTTTTCTGCTTTTGCTATTTTAATTCATCATTGTTAAAAATGAAACTTGCTGATAACTTCATTTACATATATTAGTACCAATTAGACAGATCACAACCCCTAAAAAAATAAACACAAATTATTGGCAGTTTCCAGTTAGTGATTTTTATTTCCCACCATTCTTTGAAAACACATCATATTATAAAGTATAAATACAGTCCTTTTTCACTACAGTATCATCTTTTGATTAGTTTAAACTGTCAGGACTTCTTTTTTTTTTTTTTTTTTTTTTTTTTTTTATATGAAATAGAAGACAGAGAAAATATGTTGTAATTGTATAAAGCAGTATACACTATATTTAATACTAGTAACATCTACGTATATAATTTATCAGTGCATTATACATAACATTTGGTATTATTCACAGCATCATACACTGGTCTTGGAATGTACTATCAATGGATACAATGACATTACTAAATATACGTTTATATCTATGGTATTTGTCTGTTGATTAAGTTATTACATAATACTATTAAAAATAATCAGTTAGCTTTCAAATATTTTTTTCTTTTCCAAGTACTATTACTTCATTATTAAAAAAATAAATGCAATTTTCAGTGTGGGGGAAAAAATGTATGGCAGTTCACAGACTCAAACCAACATTCCTACCTGTATCAGTTGATTCCTTGACCACTTTTTCTGCTCTTTTCTGATTTTAATCATTAAAGAATATTTCTAGAATTAATATACAGGGTCATTTCAGAGCACATATCTTCCCCTTTTTTGAGGAGTATAATATATTTGTATTTAATTTCAAAGCAAAATACTTTAATATCAATCATAGCAAACAGTGATGCTACATCTCAAAACTTTTTTTTACCTTTTACGATATACTATGATACGCCCAAATTCAAAAAAGCGCAAAACTAAACATCAAGCCACTTCAAAATCATCACAACTTCAGAGTTCTTAACAATGCCTCAGAAATAAACACTTACAGTTTTATGCATTACGTTATTCTATAGGACACTAACATGTATATAATATTAAAAATTATTAATTGGTGCATGTCAACTTTTTATATATATAATATTATTAATGTTGATTAAAATATTTTTCTTAATTTCTAACATCAAACTCAAGCGTGTCAAGTAACAAATGTATACACGAAGAGTCTTTATGAGCAAATAGTAATCTAAATTGTTAAAATGCACATATAATTTTTAATCGATTATTTAAAATATTAAAACTATGAAGTTTAAATTTTTGAGTAAGTTATAAAAGTAAACTTTGTGCAGGATATTTATAACAACTTTTTCAGATATGATATGTATTGCCTATTTTAACAAATGATAATATACTTACCGAATTAACTCGTCTCTGTCATTAAATATCAAAGTTTCTTTAGTTCTTTTATATTCTGGAAAAGTAAGTTCTCCTTTATTCACTTGCAATAAAGTTAATCTATGGAAACAAAAGAAAAACTTTTCTATCAAACCATTAATTAATTTTTTTTTTAATTTTACAGTAATTTATACATACACTTATGAAAATTTTGGAAGAATGCATTCATATCTACTATCCAAAATCAAAATGCATCTTAAATAAAATACTTTTCTGAAATGAAATGATACAATTTTGAAGTTGATATGTACTACTGCTTTTAAATAGTAGTACTGCTTTTAAAGTTACAAACAATGGCAAAAGATTATAAATTTAATAAAACTTTAGAGTAATAACTATTTAATGACATATATCAAACTATTTGATTAACATGAATCAAACTATTTGAATCTAACATTATTCTTACACATAAATCTGATAAAAAAATTTTATGCATACATAAATATTTATAACTGCATCAAAAGAAGAAAAACCATCTAAAAATATATATAATTTTCTGCTTATATCTGGCCATGATATCAGATTTGCAAAACTTTGAGATCAGTTTCTCATTACCTGGTAAAACATTCTCTCATGTGTTTTCAACTGGTATTGGGACACTGATCTGTGATACTTATTATTTTGAAATCAGCAGATAATAAATCTATATGGTAAGTGAAGTTTTAAGAATGTTCCTTCTTGTGATTTCCTGTGGCTAAAATACAGAAAAAATAAATTATGTTCTTTACAGCTCAACAATCTCCCAACAAATTCTTCGAATATTCCTGAAAATCTGCTCTGTAGCTTTTCTTAACAACATTCAATTGTCGATTACCTCCAGATTCTAATCAAGTAATATCTCCTTATTTGTGGTTTAACAGAACATCTTTGATTTTATGATCATTATTAGGCAATTAGTTTCTTAGAAATTCTTTAAATCAGTGATGCTTTTGCCAATGATCTTTAGTGTTAAGTATTTCCTTATTACTATAACTGTTTGCAGAAGATAAACATTTTAAGTAGCCTAGTTGAAGTCTAATGAGAAAATCAATTGTTTTTAAATCATCATGAATAATCTGTTTACATTTTTCATGCTAGATCTGTTGTTAAAATGACTTTCAAATTTCTATAGGATTCTTTCAAAATGAAAACATGAGCTAATGATACTGTTGGAAATTTACTTACATTATTAAGAACTAGAATTTGGTTTATTACAGAGCATGAAAATATCTCACAAATATTTCTTTTAGTTAAATTTCAATAAAAATAAATATGTAATTTTATTTATACTTTAGTACATCTGAGCATTCTTAAAATGCTTTTACATACAATCATGTGATGCCATTTAAAAACAGTACATTTTGAGTGAATATTTGAAATCAGCAAGTATAAATTCAGAGAAAACAAACCTTATTAATTTATATACAACTTCTTAACAGGAAAAGATGCCATTCACTATATATATGTAGGATTTTAAATCCGTAGCTTAACATTTTTCCTCGTGAGCAGTCTAATTTTTAGCTGTTGACTGCACAAGTGAAATTGATCGAACTCTCGCCACTTTGTTTTATTAGAGGAGATGTTAAGATGTTATAGATGTTGTGTTAATAGATATAAGATGTTATAGATGTTGTGTTAACAGATATACAATGTTATAGATGCCATGTTAATAGATATACGATGTTATAGATGTTGTGTTAATAGAGATATGATGTTATAGATGCTGTATTAATAGATGAACAATATTATAGATGCATTAATGTTTCATTAAATGTGTTTTGCTTGAACATGAATTGTGATTGTCAAACTTAGAACCCACAAAAATGGTGTCGGAATCAGGATCAAAATACAAGCAACAAATAGAGAAATATGAAGCAATATTAGACGGAATATCTCTGTTGATAGTGGAATCGATACATCAACTGCTCAAGTTTTTGCTGACACCCCTTTTTGCTGTTGTTGAAGATCATGAGGTAAAACAAAATATTAGTAAGTCATCAGTTCAATTTCCAATTTTAAAGTTTTCAAATGTGTATATAAATTTTAATGATATTGAAAGCTTGATTTCTAAATTTGATGGTAATGCGTATAATTCGATTGACAAATTCATTGAAAACTTTGAGGATGTATCTAATTTGATAAAACTAAATGAATTACAGAAACTGATTTCGCCAAAAGAACTTTAACTTTCAAAGCAATATTATTCATTAAAAGAGAAACCAAAATTAATTTGTAGAATGCACTTAAGGCTTTATTAGTAAATGAATATGGTTTTCAGTATAACTCTGCTCAGTTACACGAATTATTATCAAAACATAAAATGCAAGAAAATGAATTTCTATATGAATATTGTTTGTTTGGTAATTAAAAATCTATATTCCAAAGGTAATATTGAAAATGCTGCTTTAATTTAATATGTTATTAATGGTATAAATGATTCTGCACTAAATAAAATTATTCTTTATGGTTCTAAACCTTTGGCAGAATTTCAAGAAAAACTTAAGATATATGAAAAAAATTAAATTAGATAATGATAAAAACAAATCTGTTAAGCCTATTTCTAAAACCAGAAGCTACCATTTTGAAAGTAAAATAATAAAGAACAAATATTTGTTGCTATAACTGCGGAAATCTTGGCCACATGGAGAAGTTTTGCAAAAATAAGAGCAAGGGAAAAAAGTGCTTTTGTTGTAATTTATTTAAACACGTAGCAGCAGAATGTATAAAAAATAAGATAAATATAAATGATTCTGCCTGATCATATATTTGTAAAGAAGCAGTTAAATGATATGCATAAAATTGTATTAATAGATAATGCAGAAATAAGAGCTCTCATTGATACAAAAAGTGATACAAATATAGTAACAGAAAATATTTATAAAGTAATCGGTTCACCTAGTATTAATTCTTCCGATTTAATTCTAGTAGGCTTTGGTGATAATAAATTGAACTTATTGGTAAAACTTATTGGTTATTTTAAAGGTTCCATACAAATTGACAATTTTGAAATTAAATCAAATATTTATGTTGTGCCTCAAGGAACAATGAAAGAAAATGCTGTCATTGGAAATGAATTGCTTTCACAAATGGAAATTATTATAAACAAGAAATATGAAAGTAGCAGAAGATGAAAATGAATGGAATTTAATGTACATAAATAAAGATCAAGAAAATAGATTAGATAATTGTTTAGATATGAATAAAGAATGTAAGTCTAAAGTAAAACACTTAATCTTATTCCTAATAAAATTGAAGACCTTATAGAAGAAACAGATGCTGCTGAATATGAATTAAAGGAAGAGGAGTCTCAGAAAAAAGTGATGTTAAAAGAGGGAAAGGAAAATTGGAAAATGTAGAGGAAGGGAAGAATTTCATTCCTAAAGGAAGAAGAAAACATCCACCTAAGAAAGTTCAAGAAATCAAAGAAAATAATGAAAAAAATTAATGATTCAAAAAAAAAAAAAAAAAATACACTTCAGGAAAGTTTAGAAAGTTTTAGAAAAAGGAGGAATTCAGAATCTGAGAAACTAGTTGAATATAATGCTGGTGAAACAGAAATATTAATAGCAAGAAGGAACATTGAGAGAAACTTCGAGCTAAAGAACTGGATCCTAGTATATCTAAAAATCTTCAAGGAAGACAAGCCAAAGGAAAATCTACTAATATTGAAATGCATAGTATTTTAAAAGATGACCAACCCACTTCTTTGAAACCCATATGTTTACTAATTATAGGTAAAGAACAACTAAAACAGGAAAAAATTATTTTATAAATGGATTTCCCGAACAAGTTAGTTCTTTGGAAAGAAAACTTTCTGCATCAGAACAGACTATAGAAATGTTACAGAAACAACTACCAGAAGCCAAGAATGAGGTAGAAGCTGAAAAATTTCAGATGAGAACCAAAAGTAAAATCCTGTCCAAGAAAGAAAAGGAAGTTCAACATGTTAAATTGAAAATGCAGGAAAAGCTAACTTTAGAAGAAGATCGCATGAGAAAAGTGATGGAGAAAAGATTATCTGACAAACAAGCAGAATTGGAAAGAAAGATGTGTATCACTGATGAAAAATTTCATTGGCTACAAGAAATTCTTAATGCTGATAAGTGGGAATATTATGGAGATCTGTGGGATGCTACAGCTGTTCCAACACTATCTAGCATGATTTCAACTTCAACTTATGAATCAAGTAAGCTTAAGAAAAGGTTATATAAGAGGCATAAATCTTTCCTTGAAAAACCTTCCGTCTCAAAAAGAAGATTTACTAAAGCAATATCAGTTGTTAATTTTGTATCTGGAGTAAGCAAGCAGAAAGCTTTCAGTTTTCAAGCACATACAGATTATACTTCTGGAAAAGAAAATATTAAACTTAAAGAGATAATTGACGGCGAAATTCAAAATAATTTTGAAACTTACCAAGAAGAATTTCAGAAAGATGCGAAGAAATAAATGTTTAAGGTACGAGAAGAAAATAAGAAAACGTATAACTTTCAAAGACGTTCTCCAAAATGTTATGAAATTATTGATTTAGCAGCAATCAAAAGAACTCAATTTGAACCAAACCTTAAGTTAAAATCAAAATATTTAGGCCCGTATAAAGTTGTCAAAATAAAGGATAATGACACCTGTGATGTTGTAAAAGATCATGAAAGACCCACAAAAACAACTACATGGGGTGAATACTTCAAACAATGGACTCAAGCACAAGAAGATGTATAGAATAATACTTATTATGACATTTAAACCTGGAGTGATACAAATGATAACCAAACTGTGAATTTTCACCTAATAATGGCTTTATTTCAGTTAATTTTATTTTTAAGATGAAATGAAGTTTTCAAAAATGTTAAAGATTGAAGATATCTTTCGTTTTAAATGAAGATTTCTGAAAAATAGAAGGGACTGTTGACCATGTTATAGTTGCAAAGATGAAGGACAATTAAGATGTTTCCTTTCAATATTGTTCTTAGCACATAATCTTCTCTTCATATTTCTTTTCAGGTTTCGGCTTATTCATGATGATGGTTTTTTTTAAAGAAGACAACGATGATGCAAGATGACCAATGATTTATGATGTCAAGAGAAGAATCATGTCATCAAGGTCGACGCATAGCAGGAAGACCAAAAACGGGATTTTAAATCTATAGCTTAACATTTTTCCTCGCGTGCTGTCTAATTTTTAGTTGTTGACTGCATGAGTGAAATTGATAGAACTCTCACCACTTTGTTTTATGAGAGGAGATGTAAGATGTTATAGATGTTGTGTTAATAGATATAAGATGTTATAGATGTCGTGTTAACAGATATATGATGTTATAGATGTTCTGTTAATAGAGATATGATGTTATAGATGGTGTATTAATAGATGAACAATATTATAGATGTGTTAATGTTTCATTAAATGTGTTTTGTTTGAACATGAATTGTGATTGTCAAACTAAAGAAAACACAAATATACATACACAGTTTTCTAAAATATAAACAACAATACAGAAAAATATTTACAATTGTTGTTGCTGACCACCAGCAGCTTCATCATCATCATCTGATATAGTAGGTAAAGAAAATAACATCAAAATTCGAGTAAACAGCCGCTTTGGAAGAAGAGATATTCTGTAACATGGCCCAAGCACTTGTTTCACTCTAAAACGTAGAAGAAAAATTATTAACATTCATATCAAAATAGTTTATTTTCTGTGCTCTTGTATGCAGGTAAATTAAAAAATTAATAACAAAAAAAAAAAAAAAAAAAAAAGAGATCGTAATTACTATCTAAATAACAATATCTTCAAATGTGCATAATATAGATTTTACTATATTATAACTATTATTAAGATTATTTTATTAAAACTGTTAGAAAGGTAAATAAAAAATAACATGTACTATAATTAATATGGTATCATTTAATGTTTTGATATGAAATAAAGATTTTACCAATTTGGAACCTGCAAATTTTGAGATTCAAAACACTATTAGATATGTTTTGATAAATTCAATAATAAAATATTTTAACACACAGAAAAGTGCACAGCATTTGAACAATTTGAAACATTCTATTATTACTTTTACAATATCAACTTTTATATGGCTTTTAATTATTAATAACATTTATCTCCAAGTAGTTAGCTTCACAATATGCTTAGAAGGTATGACATTTAGCTATATATAAAAAAAAAAAAAAAAAAAAAAAAAATTAAATAAACACTGACAGAATACAAAATACATACGAATTACAAAGTATTTTACACTCTATATAACTCTTTGTTCTCTGCAGTAATTACTTTATCCTGCAGTGGTATTTTGGTTTTTGATCTAGCATGTTACAGTATTTCATATTATTTCTTGCTGTTTAAAAAGATATATGAATTTGAGGACTGAATTTTTACAAATGTTCTTCTCTACATACACACACATACACAGTACTGTCTAAAAGTCTGAACATTTATCTCTATACATAAAATTTTTTCCATTAGTCTTGTACTGCCTAAACTTCATATACTTAGGACAACAACATATCATGTCCTCTTCCCCTAGAAATGTTTTTAGCATGAAATCTTCTTTTAGACAATTATCTTGAAGTGTCTTTTTACTGTGGAGAATTAGAATGAAATCTGTGATTAACACCAGGCACATTTTGACACAATTATGTTTATTTTATTTTAAACTTAAAGGGATCATTTTGAAATGGTTATATCTATTTCATTTTTAACTAAAGAGGATGTTTATCTTGGGAAAAAAATATCTTATTTTATTCACTTTTATTAAAATGGTGTAAATGGTTTAATGAAATTAATTATTTTAATTATTTTCCTTTCTCATATGAAGTAATTACCAAAATCTTTTGTAAAACAATTATTTTACAAGACTTGTTTATATGCAGTGTACAACTGCCCTTTTATAAAGTACTTTTTCATTGATCTACTTATTCATATCCTATATCTATACTTAAGTCCAATTTACAAGTAATCTAAAGCAAATCACATAAATAGTAACAATATGAAAGCTTTCAAAATAAAGCATTAAAAATGTATGTGGTATCCATTAGTTCAACACAACCACCAGAGGGCATCACGTATGCGTCGACAGCGAGAGCAAAAGATAGATAGATAGATACTGATTCCGCGCGAACGTGGTAACAAAAGAACTCTGTTAAAATAGCAAGCATGAGTAGCACTAATAGCAAGCACTAAGTAGGCGCTGTGTAGCTATTTAAATACTTAAAGTCATGCAGAACTGTATTTGAATCTAACAAGCGTGAGAACACGCAACGGCACTGTTATTTAATTCAAATCTATAGCTTTTCTATTATTATTCATTAAATGTTTTGTGGTGTGGACGTGTGTAAGTGTTATTTGCTTAAGGATATTATCTTCAACTCCCCACCCACAGAAAATCTGGGGCTCGGCCGGGATCTGACCAAGAAACAAGCAAGGTAAAGTAGTATTTTATACCAATTTACTATAATCATCATGAGTGTATTAAATAATATCAGTAAACAAGACTCGAAAATAATTGCAAAACACTATGTTCAAGAAAAATTTAACCCCTAAAGTGGCGAGATGAGCATTACTTCTAGAAGAATTTGGCTATGAAATTGTTCACAGATCTGGGCAGCAAATGAAGCATATGGTTTCGTTAAGCCAAAACGCTGTCATGATGGTTACCTAGTCTCAGGGAGAAAGTTCTAGCCAAAATTGCAGCTGCACAAAGAAGTGATGAGCGTCTCCAGTTGCTAAAATCCTTAGTCAAGCAAGGACTAAAGAAAGATTTTCTAGTGAAAAAATGGAGTATTATACAAGTTTGACAGTGGTCGTGAGTTACTTGTCGAACCCGATGCATTAGAGCTAGAGATCATACGTAGTATCCACAACAAGTGACACTTCGCAGTGTCTAAAACGGAAGATCTGCTGAAAATCGATTTTTATGTTCCTAACTTTAGAAAACGAATTGAACAAGTTATTTCAAACTGTGTAGAATGTATTTTGTGCGATAGAAAACGAGGTAAGAGCGAAGGGTTGCTGAATCCCATACCAAAAGAGAGTATCCATTTGAGCACTTTTCATATCGATTTTATAGGACCATTACCTTTGACAAAGAAGAACTACAATCATATCTTGACCATGGTTGATTCATTTACAAAGTTCGTGTGGCTTTATCGAGTCTATATTAGCTCAAGAGGCATTGCAAAAGCGGAAACTGCAGCAATCAATTTTTGGTAATCATTTCAGAATAATAAGCGAACGTGGTAAGACACGGCTTTAACCTCTAAAGGCTTTGAAGATTACTGTAGTCAAGAAAAGATCCAGCACATATTTACAACTACAGGCGTTCCTAGAGGAAATGGACAGTTCATCTGACTCTGATTCCAGTTCTATCCAAATTATCCATAGATGATCCTACCAAGTGATACAAGCACGTTGGAGATGTACAATGGATTTGAACAGTAATAAGAGCAGAAGCACAAAGAGCTCTCCATTTGAGCTCCTCATTGGTGTTAAAATGAGAAATCGAGAGGACTTAAAGATTATGAAAATTCTCGCCTTTGCAGATCACGAAAGCTATGCTCTTTTAAAAGTGGCAAGTATAAACACAATGAATAAGTCAATGCAATTAAACTGCCAAAGATGCCAAGGATAAAGTTGCGAAACTGGAGACATTCGTGAATAACTTCAGAAAAATCTGAAGGACGTTCAACTGATAGGGAGTGAAATTAAAAAATGTTAAGGAAATACAGGATTGAGTGTAAAACTTCCATAATGACTATTGCAACATTGACATAAAGCTAGATATTGATGAAGGTTTACAGAAATATTGAAGAGCTGGATAATCAGCAGGTAAGAATTAAATACCATCTTTCGACCTTTAAAATAAATACTGCTTCAAAGGTTAAAGATGGTTGTGTATAAGCGGATAATAAAAATGAAACCTTTTATAAAACTTCCTGAAATTCTATTGCCAATATTCACACGTAATTATGAAGACTTTAGTAAATTTAAACATATTGAAACCATGCTCGCACATTCAAACAGGCATATTAGGTATTACTGATTGGGCTTCAAAGATCCTGCCTCGTATGGAATCCTGAGGGAGAACACCTCGAGATGCTGTGCACGGCTCTGACAATTAAAAAAAAATTATTTATTACAGAGGTAAATTTACACATTTTTAGAACAATTTCAAGGCCTTCTAATAAATATTTAAAATGTAGAAAGTAATTTTTAAAAGTTTGATCTGATAACTTTTTTTCTGGACTATAAGTTTGCGTCGTAATTTTCATGATAGAAGGCGTAAAATTTCAAGGGGTATTGATTCCCATTCCTCTTTCGCTATTTTCCAGAGTCCATTAATTGTGGTGGGTTTAAAGAAAGCTCTTTTAATACACCAAAAGGACAACAGTCCATCAGTGAAATGTCAGGTGATGTATTTATATGTCAGGTACTGCATTTATACAGGTATATAAGTATTGCATTTAGCAGTGTCTTGCATTTGTACCTGTATATGTTTTCAAGGAATGCAAAGTTACTTTTCAAAGTATAACTTGTTACTTTGTCTTGAAGAAGTTTCATTTTTTGAAAGTCACTGGGATTTAAAAAAAAAAAAAAAAAAAAAAAAAAAAAAGGAACTTTTCTGCAAATATCACTAGTAGAAATTTCTCTTGACAGTACCTTAAATTGATAATCAATTGAACTGTTTTGGTTGCAATCATGATTCATCAAGTAAACTTACGATTCATAAAGGGGCAGAATACACTTCCATTTATCTCCTGCTAAACAATTTTCATACAGGGTTCTATAAACTGTTCTGCATTGAGCCACGTCTTTGAAAAACTGGTGAACATTATGTTTTTTTAGCCTTTTTAAGTAATAAATCTTAGTTTATTACTTTATTTATTATTGCTAGAAATGTAAAGACATAACAATTTATTTCTGTATAGATGAATTTTCACTTTTTACCAAAGAATTAACATTAGAAACTGTAGGTACCTTTCTTGGGTATTCATTAAGAGTCTTCTTTCCATTGTTTTCCCATTCCGGACTAATAACTTTGCTTATTTTGCACTTAGAAATTTTAATATCATGAACATTGAATCATAGAATAGGAATATTTCTCTTTGGAAAGGGGGGAAGCATATCCTTCAATCCACAGCTTGTTTATATGTGACATTTTGAAAGAAGAATAAATTTAAAGGTAGCAGATGATATTACTCATTCCAAATAATCAGCTATTGCCACAACTTTTTAATTCCAAAGAATTTTCTTTTTTTAATTCTTTACTGAAATCATTCTAAAAATGTGTAAAAACCCTCTGTATATGGAAGTGAATAATGGATCCATAACATTTTATTGCAATTTTTTAATAAATACTAATTTTTAATTATCAACGTAAAAAAAAACTTGCATAAAGTGAGTAATGTTTAATCCTATGATTTTTTTTTTTTTTTTTGGAACTATTTCGTATAACAACCTGACTCCTTTGCATTCTCAAATGCTTTCACTGCACTTCTCATGTTTTGAACAAACTTCAGTAACTCTTGATGGCTTTCGCGTCAATGAAATAGTGTCTATATACTTGGGAAAATCATTCTTACATTGGGCATACAGTCTCAGTAATAAATCTATGTTTGATATTTCCTACTGTCCTTTACAGTCTGGTAA